CGGAATTGGTTAGGGGTTGTGACCTACTAAGCTATGGGTCGGGGGGCAGTTCTAGATGTCTATCTACATAACCGCCACCAAGGGAGGGGCTGGCAGAATCAGTGGTATGTTCATGCTAGAAAGCATGGAGCGTGCAATTTGGTTCATGCTACAAAGCACGAACCAAGCAATTCTTACAGTAGGGAGGAGGGGGGAGTTAATGGGTTACGGGGTGTGACCCAGTAAGCTATGGGTCGGTCGGCAGTTCTAGATGTCTCAATCTACATAGCCGCCACCAAGGTAGGCGCTGGCGACACCGGTGGTATGTTCATCCTAGAAATCATGAAGCGTGCAATTTGGACAACTCCAGGTTCATGCTACAAAGCACAAACCAAACAGTTCTTCCCAAACTCGAACATAACACCAGTGCGAGACCAGGTTCATGCTACAAAGCATGAACCAAGCAATTCTTACCGTAAGGCTCATGCTTTTCCTCATGCTCTTCCCAAACTTGAACATAACACCAGTGCAGCCCGCGCAGCACCTCTACAGTAGGCATGCTTACTACGTTTTTTTACTGCCATGTTACTGCTTTGTTCCTGTCTTTTGCCACTCTAGAACCCCACTCTCTCACACCATCTAGCACTTGTTAACTACAATTTTTGACAGCCGACTCATTCTTTGGCAATTGGTTGGATTGCAAAATTAATGGCTTAGTTTGGGTGTTGGCACAGTGGGCTGCATTCAGCTGAAAAAATGGGCTAAATTCATCTGAATGTTGCCCATTGCAGGGTTACCGCCGTTCAGGTTCGGCTGGCAGTGCTGGCCTGAACATCTGAACGTTCACCCCCGCCCCCCTGCCAGTGTGTTCAGCTGAATGACGAATATTCTTTTTTCTTTCTTTTTCTTTGCCTTTCTTTTTGTTTCTTTTGTAGTGTACTGAGGGAGGGGTGTTCTTCCACCTCTACATGTTTCTAAATATAAAAAAAAATATAATTTTCACAAGGGGTCAAATTGCCTGCCGAACGGCTCCGAGTCCCCCCTGCCAACCATGTGTGTGTGTGTGTGTGTGTGTGTGTGTGTGTGTGTGTGTGTGTGTGTGTGTGTGTGT